AAAAATAGACCGCAAATTGTAAAGTGTGCTACAAGGTACCATAAATACCATCTTTGGGGGGCAGTTAGAGACTTTTCTCCTACTCCTCATTTGGTAAGAAATACTCTTCTCATTTCTTTGTAAATCAGAGTGATGTACCATTTTGTTATATTGTCTCCATTTGGTAGCATTTTCTTTTCCCAGGAGCTAGGAAATTTAACTATATTTTATAAACTGAGTTTGCTCATGGTATCCTGCCCTGAAATTTGATCTCCTATTTGAAATAAAATATGTGAATTTAGTCTAAAAAGGAAAGTGGACTGTGAATTTTGTTTCTTCCAAGTGCATTTTCAGCTATGAGTAATATAATTTAGTTCCTGTGTTAAAATGAATTGATTTTCCTCTTTCCCTTTTCTCTGAATGAATGAGATCAGTATTAATATGTTTTTGAGTGCTTATAAATTTCACTGCTAATATTATTAATCAACAAAAATTTGGAATGAAATATTACAGTACGGGTTCCTTTCTGCTAATGGACATGGTACTGTGGAGGTATTAGTATGGAGATTTTTAATTTTTCTTAGGACTGTTTTGCTAAATTTTCCTGTGATGTTATGGGTTTCAAGGCACAGATTGATGTGAAATTACTTATATTTTCATATGAAAAGCTTTGTGTATATCTATACTAATGGACAAATTTCTGTCATGGTATTATACTAGGTTTCAATTTTTTTCTTTCTTCTTGATCAGTTGTATAAAGAGTTGTCACTTTTTGTTACCAGAATCACATTTAATTCTGTTTATTTTCTTTCTGTCTTAATTTCTTAAAAATTCCTTTCAGTCCATATCCCATCATTCATTTTCTTTGTGTTCAATTTACTCTACTTTTTTCTAGTGTGTGATGAATATTTCAAATGCAGTACTTCAGCTTTTTAATTTAAATACAGAACAGCACAAATGTATATGTAGTATGGAATGGGTATTTGTCTCAGTATAGTTTGACCTTCAACTCATAGGATTTTCATTTGTGCATGATTTTTAATTTGTGCTTTGATCTATTCTATACAGTATATATGATTGAAAATTATCCATACTGGAAGAATTTGTTAACTGATATTATTGTGTGCATGTTCTCTATACATGCACATACAACATTTAAAAAATAATATATTCCCATAATTAATGGAGAATATATATTCAAAATAACTACATGATACAGTGCATAGTTTGTCTTGATGTATTTCAGAGAACATTTGAAATCATACTGAATACGTTTTGGAATCAAAATTCACATCAGCCACAAATCCAAATTAGAAAATATTCAGTAGGAAGGTAATTCCACCATGTCATGATGTATGAGAAAGTTAAATATTTCCAAAGTGGTACTTATGGTATGCAACAGTCTTCTACATTAGATTTCTACAAATCTCGGGGCTGGGGATTTAGCTCAGCGGCAAAAGCGCCTGCCTGGCAAGCGCAAGGTCGTGAGTTCAGTTCCCGGTACTGGAGAAAAACCAAAAAAAAAAAAAAAAAAAAAAAAAGATTTCTACAAATCTCATAGAATGTGTTTTAGTCTTCACCTTCAGTTTATCTGTGTTTTAATGACATGGTATTTTCCTTTAGTATATTTGAGTATTCCATGAATGGTGAATAAACCATTTTTGCAACTTCTATCAATTCTGAAAGGGTTTATGCTACCTCTTTTTATTCTAATATAATACTAATGCTATCTCCTCTGTAAAAATGCCTATGACACCCTCCTGAAATGTAGATATTATCATTTATTAAATACTTTATTGTATGTGTATATCATCCTTATAGTTCTGTGGTACAGACTCTAATTTATACCATAGTCTGTCTCCCCCTTCACCTGTGCATTCTAGGAGAATGGGGATTAAATTCTAGAAATTGAATTGTGCTGTTTTATAAGCACGTTTTACATCAAAGACGTCCCCCCATCTTCAATCAAACTCAGTCTCTCTGAGCACCTGCTTTGTGTGAAGAATAGTGTGAGGTACTGGAAAATGAAGTATGCCTGACCTTGACTTGACTCTAATCTTGCTGTGTTTCCAAAGTTGTAAAGAGTTGGCTTTAATCATACTCTGTGTTAAACTTAATGATGGCAATGGAACTTAGAAGCTGTGGGCTGGGAAAAGGGCTTGTCTTGAGAAAATAATCCTTTTAATGGTACTAGAAAAATAAGTCAATGTAGGCAGATGTGATGGTGCATAATTGTTATGCTGGATAATTATTGGTTTGAGACAGGTCTATTGTATTTCTGAGGCAGTCTGAGACAAATTGGTGATATCTGCCGCTAAATAACAAATAAGAATGGCAGGGACTTTGATCATTGATAGAGCACATTTTGGGTTAATTCCTAGCAATGCAAAACAAAACAAAAAAAGGTGAATAAGAATGGAATAAAAGGAAAATGAATTAGAGTGCATTTCAAAGGGGAAAATGTGTTTTCCAACCAAGCAACAGCACTCAGTATAACAAATAATTTGATAAGTGAAGGAACAATTTTACCATTAATGTCCTCTAAAAGATTTTTTCATTTCCTGGATGGAGTGAACATAAAATAGAGTGAGAAAGTGTCCACAGGACATGCTCCTACCTGTGCCATTGGTGATCTCATTGTCTGCACAAGGGGTACAATCAAAACAACAGGCAGCCTTTCCCTCTTGAGGGCTTTTTCTAAATCCAGGATTGCAACTTTCACTGCATACTGAGCGGGGAGTCTGAGGAAAAAAACATATGGCTGTAATTTCTTAGACTCTTACTTCTGTCTTTAGAGCTAGAGGGATATACTTAATTTTCATACATACATAAATAAAACTACCTGGTTGAATGCCAAATTTATTTCATAAGATGAAACATATATCTATAAAAATATAGTTAAGTAAATGTATGTTTTTCTCACTCATCAGAAAGTTGATAAACAAGATTTGTTTCAATTATAAATTGAATTGTTCAATTTCCACAAGAGCCAAATTTGGTCATTTCATGAGAAAAATTTTGGGCAAAAATCTTCTGACAATATGTAAGCTTATTTATAGTTGAGGAAGGGGGGTCTAATTAAGTCCAACACACCTCTGTAATTCCTGTGGTCCACTCTATCATGTCCTCAGGTAAAGTCATTTTTTGCCCACGTGGAGCATGTGAAAAAAATGTGCCTAGTTTAACCTTAAGTCTAAGACCTTCTGGAAAGTTCCAAAAATTGATAATGTTATACTCTGAGTCCAGTTTTCTTCTGTCATCCAAGTTCACTTGGTCTCCAGCAGGATTGTGAAATTGGATGTTCTTCAGAAAGCGGTGCAGCTAAAAGAGACACATCATTCTATGTGAACAGGGCTCCAGTATAAAGACAGAAAATATGGATGGGGGAAAGAGCCTGAGTGATTTTAGTCCCATTTACCTAGAGCAACTTTTAACACTGTTGTCTATTGAATTAGATGACATGAATGTCTAAGGACTGAAATGTCAACATGTTCCAGAAATGTCAGTTTCAGGAAAAACATATTTTATGCAAGCCAATTTTAGCAAGGTGTACAGGTGTGTTATGGGAAACCATCAACTCTGGAATCAAAGTTTCTACAACCTACACCTTCCATTGTCTATCTGACTATTCCCATAGCATCGACCACAAAATGAGTTCATCAATGTCTGAAGAGTTTAGAGAATTAAATGAAAGTTAATTACATGTGCTGTCAGGTTTGATGCCATTTATTTATTTATTTATTTTTTATTTTTTTTTGGTTTTACTCCGGTACCGGGAACCGAACTCACGACCTTGCGCTTGCCAGGCAGGCGCTTTTGCCGCTAAGCTAAATCCCCAGCCCCTGATGCCATTTAGATTTGTAAGTGACTGCAAGTTTTCTGGTTGTCCTTTAAGAAAACATGGAAAATGTTTACGTGTGCAAGACATTGACATCCCATAGACAGAAGCAGGGAGCTGGCCTCTGGTTTCTTCCTCCTTGCCAGCAGCTCCTTGACTGAGGATCCCTGCAACTCAGCTCAAGAATTAACTCCTTAACAATAGGTGTGATACTCATGTCTTATAGTTTATAGAAATGGTTCTAATATTCTTGGGTAAAACACTCTGAAGAATAATGTCAGAGAGGTAATTTGATGACACTGGGTGCCATGCAAAGGAAGACACATTACCTGCCAGGGGGAAAACATCATGACTTGTCTATTTCTCATTGGCGGCCTTTGTACTTCTTCCAAAAGCATCGCATGGAGGGCATGGGCCACAGCGTACACAGCATTGTATATATTGTAGCTCCCATCACTCATGGCTGTGTCAAAACGATTCTGAGGCAACCAAGCCACAGAAGCATTAGGTGTGCAGTTCTTCAAGGCACAGTCAGACTCAGAGAATGAACAATGGAAATTTTTGGACCAATACAAAACAAGGTAAGTGTCTTCTGGGTATTTGAAAGGGGTAGCTTCCTGGACAAAATTTTTGAAACCTGAAATCTCTTTGTGGTGGTGTGAGAAAACAAGAACTCCATGAAATGGGTGAAGTATGAAATGTCTCCCAGTTAGGTCAGCATGCCATTGTGAGTTTGTCACCCAGACTTTCCACGTCACTAAGTCTTGCACTATGTTGTAGTTTACATCATGTGTACTATCGGTATCATAGTAAATAACCACCACATTGGCTGATGATGTATCTGCAGTCAGGATATCATGTTTCTGTGTGGCTGCCAGATGTGACACAGCCACAGTTGAGACCATTTTCACAAAGGCTACACAGACTCTGTTCCTGTCCATCTCAGCTCTGACATCTGACAGAAACTGAAGACCCTTCTGGCCTTCTGTGATGAGCAGGCCCACCCAGGTCCAGCGGAAATGAAGCATCAAGGACACCATGCCAAGGGCCAAATATGTGTCCTTTGGGGCCACCTGATAGAGAGAAGGATACTGGCCACTGTCAGTCAGTGTAGGATCAAATGAGCCAAAGGTCACCTTAAAGGAAAAGAAAACTGGATAATACTCTGAAGTGTTGGTGCAAAGCAAGTAGTAGTCCTGAAGAGTACTGAGTTACACCTACAAGTTGTAGAAGGAGACACATGTTCTTCCCGTCTTTCTGAACAGTTCCCTCAGAAGACTTTTGTTTTAAAAAATGAATGAATGTACTTAGACATCCCAGAAACGTATTTCTTTCCTTCTTTGATCCAAAATAAAGAAAAAGAAAAGAAATTGTGTGTAGCCCACTAAGTGTCAGTGCACAGACCTCCCAGGCTGATTTTTAACCCTTTCTGCTCCTGGTAGTTGAAGCCCCGTGGATGTGCTTCCACCATTTCCTGTCCCACCAGCCCTCACCTGGGGAAATCTGTAGAGTTCCAGCAGTGGTCCAATCTGAGCAGAGGTGCACCATGGCATTTCTGTCAGTACTGCTGCACACTTGCTTTCCCTCCTGCATGTGTAATTAGGGATCTCGTGTTGTCCCATGAGCAAAATGAAGGAATTCTCTAGTATCCTCCAATGACTATAAATCAAATTATGGAACTCATAGCCTAGAGAAAGGTTGGGTAAAAGATGAGGATTCCTGTTGATCTCTTCTATGGCAAAAGTGAAGGCCAGGTAGTTTTGGTAGTTGCTGGGCATAAGCCTGCAGAGAGAGCGCAGTGGTCCTTAGGGAAAAGACTCAATTAATGATCATCTTCCAATCCAGTGCAGTACCATTTATGGACTAAATGCTTGTGTTCTTTCCACGCACTCATATAATTAGAACCTACGTATGGATATGATAATATTAGAAGACTGACTTTTTAGAAGTTTCACTGGAATTAGATGAATGATGGGGCTGAATTTCTCATGGAGGAGCTTAGTCGCCTTACTAGATTCCTGGAAGGGTTGCTTCAACATTCTGTTATATTTGTGATACAGTTAACATGACCTTGCTATATATATATTCAGAATAAAATTTGTGTATAGAATTATACTATGTACATTTTTAAAAAAGTGATATTTTTAAATATCCTCACAGTTTGCAAGGAGGAAAATAATGTATTTGTTGAAGTACCTTTAGTACTCAGTACTAAGAAGCATGCATTTCTGTTTAAATACTTTCTTTTAGGAAAAAGATATTTCCTTAATATTATTATTTAAATGTATCTCAAACAAAATTGCTATCTACACTCCTGCATGTGAAGAAATGCTGGGGTAATGGATACAGTAATGCACTTGATTTAGCAATTAGGTAATATAAATATGTAGCAGTATATAATATTGTATCTATGAATATGTATATAATGGTATTTGATAGCTGAAGATAAAATTAAAGATAAAACTGAAACTCTTAAAGTCAAAACAGATTTTGGTTAAGGAATAAGGCAGTGAGTTACAATGATAAGTGGTGAAGGTCAGGAATGCAAGTTCCCCCTCCTTCCAGGGATTCATGGCACAGACAGTTGCCCCACCCTTCTCCTCCTGAGAGATCTCTGCTAAGAAAACTGAACATACTATTGACAAAGTGCAACCTCCTCTGGATGTTGCGGAGTGAAGCTTCTTAATGAATCTGTATATCAAGAACATTTTCATTGAAAAAGTGATCAGAATGATATTTCTTTGAAGCATCAGAATTACTTAGTATTGCTCTGGAGTTTCTAAGCCATACAATAAATATTCAGCAAGTTAGAAGAGAAGAAAGGAATTGAAGAGACAAGCACCATGAATATCCCATTAGGAATAAGATTATTCACCTAAAAAATAAAGAAAATTCTGGTACAGACCCAAACAAAACCTAAGCAAATGAGAGAAAAAGATTTCCAGTATAAAACTGGTGAATAAAAGTCCTTTGAGAAAAACATACATAGTATAGCAACAGCCTTAACAAAACTTATAATGAGACATTTTTAAAAGCACAAAAATTCTTGTAAATAGATAAAATCACTAAAAAGAATATTTCATAAATATTAATATTAAAAATATTCTATCAATTTGGTACTACTGAAGAACATTAAGAGAAAATTTTTATATCAAAGACAAATATTACACAAGTGCTCTGAAATATGCATAATCTTTAAAAGTAGCGAAACTGTTTGAGAACATAAATGGAGCATGTTGGAGAAAAAGCAGCTAAAGATTTAGATGCATCAAAGGGACAGAATTAGAAAAAAAAACTTGCCTATATATCTTTCTCTCTCTGACTGTCATTATACTTTTTATCACAAGATTTGTATAGAAATTCACTAAATATTAAATTATATTATTCATAGCAAAAAAACTTTTGTGAAAACTGAAATTAAGAGAGTACACAATTTATTGCCAAATAAATTCCAGAGGTAAGTAATGTTATAAACTATAAAAGTAACAAACTTAACACAAATGCACTTTCAATATTACACATGGAGATGCATTGTAAGTAGGAAAAAGGGAAGTGATGGATATATTTTTTCAACCTAGAAGCTGATATCCATTTACTGTTAAGCATAATTTAGGTAAAGACATTTATAAAAGCAAAAGCCTAGTCAATCATTTTTAAGATATTTGGTCAACAATATTTTCCTTTCCTTAATATTGAAAATATTTTTTCACAAATTGGAAGGTCTTTTCTAAGACAAAAAATTGATGAAGGGTAAGTGAAGAAATAAAAGATTCTTAAAATAATGCATAAAATATGATCAAGCCAAATGTTAATAAAGGATATGCCTGTATATCAACATGATGCCCTTTGTTTAACTTCAGCTTACGCCAGTTGTCCAATGTAAAGGTTAAGGAAACGTTACGTCCCTGCGTGGATGTTTGAAAATGCCCATTATTTTGTTGCAGTATGTGGATGATAATATGTATACAATAATTTAAAAATAGATAATTTTGAACACAGCCATTTTACTCTTTTAACATTTTTTAGCTTTAATCAGTGAGCATTCCTCTAGGTATCACACATTTATTGCCATCCTTAAATGACTGGAGGAATTAATTAGAAATTTTGGAACATTCAAAAATGGGTGAGAATTGAATTATAATAGGTTTAAAGGATATAAATTACACACACAATAATTATCATGAATATATATAAATATATATAATATATAAAATATATATTATATATAAAATATTATGTAAGGAAAGTAAGTTGATGCAAAAGAGAGACAGAATAATGCTACTTTGACTGTATTTATATTTATCTGCAGAAAAGCCAAGGTGTTATCAGTGCTACAGTATAAATATTATGGCCACTGCGTTTGCATATCTAAACAATATGATCTCTTAAAATAGTAAAATTAGATGCTTCAATATAAGATTGATGTGAAATCTGTGAGGTATGTGGATGGTAGTTGAATGGGAATTGCATTGAATCTGTACAGCAGCTTTGGGAGTATGGCCATTTTCACAATGTTGGTTCTTCCTATCCATGAGCAAGGAATGTTTTTCCATTTATTGAAATCTTCTTCGATCTCTTTTTTTAGAGTACTGTAGTTTTCATTAAAGAGATTTCTGTATTGTCTGTATTGTGCTTGTGATATGTTGTAAAATGTTGTATGTCTGTTAATGTTTCCCTCCTTTTATCCTTAAAATAAAAAAAAAAAAAAAAAAAAAAAAAAAGATTGATGTGAAATACATGAACTGATTATGTGTAAACATTCTTATTTTCTAAAAGTTCTTTCGTTGTTCCTCTTCTTTTCAGCAGGAATGAAAATTCTCTCCTGATCCCTAAACTCCTATTCCTGGTGGCGACATCAGCCTGGGCATAGAGACTCAGAATTGCAAGTGTGATCTTTTCAGCCCCAGACAGAGCTCACAGTGCAGAAGTCTAGAGCAGGGCCAACTGCAAAAGCAGCCTGATCCTCTGAGCGTGTGTGGGGACAGCAGAGGACAGTAGAAAAGTAGGCAGCTCATCCTCTCCTCTGAGGAACAGAAGCAGATCCTACATCCTTAAACTATTCTTGAAATCTGACGATGCTTCCTATCTGATCAGTGTTTCACTCCCCAGTGTATTCAGGTGATGTCTGATCACTCCGGACTCTCTTCACTTAGAATCCTGTCAGGGCAGTTCTGCCAGACTCCCTCACTGTCCCCCCTCCATGCTCCTCATTAGCTCTAAGCACACACGAGCCCATCCAGCATTCAGAACCCACCTCCCCAAACCACATTTCAGTGCATTCTATACTAAAGGTTATGTCCCAGTAAAATAAAAACCTTCTCATAATTTTCAATAAGTGACATGCAAATTAATCTTCTCACAGATTTTAGGAGATTTCAAGCAGAGTTCTCTGAGTCAAACACTCAAAAATAGTTCTGATCTGTCACCAACAAGAAACCCTCAGTAGCAGGTACCAGAATCAAACTTTGTATATTAAGCACATCTGTAACAACACACATTTTAGAAAACGATGGAAGAAAAACACACATTCAGGGTGTAATGACAAATATCTGTCATGCCGCTGTGCAAGAAGCTTAAGCAGAAGAAATTCTTGAGCCCAGGACTTTGCTGGTAGCATAGTGAGCACAATAAGTCCCTGTCTCAAAAACTATGAAAACATAGAGAAAGTGTCTAGGAATAAAAATAAAAGCAAACATCTGGATGTTATAAGGAGTATGAGATAGGTAGAGACCTCATCTGCAGGAGGAAAAGGCCCAAATTCCTTGCTCTGCTGTCCCTGCTCCCAAATAGGCTGTAGCCTTAAAGAGACTGAGGGCACAGCTGGTTAATTTAGGGGCCTGGATTCGCAGATAGCAAAGGCCTCTATCACCAAGTGAAAAACAATCAAACAAACTTTAATAAACTGCTAGTCAACACATACATGATTACACAGAAGCAAGAGAAAGCACAGAGATGGTTACATCCCCAGGTCGGAAGAACTTCCACACCTGCAGTCCCAATTCCAGTTCTGAATGTCCCTTCATGGGGTTTTCAGGTTTCTAGTCGGGAAGGGTCTGGGCAGACTGTCCTCTCTACAGATGGGATCCCAAAGTCCTCCTACCAGTGAGGCCCCTTAAATACCAGTTGACACAGAAGTGGCAGTGTCCAAACTTTGCTCATGACCAGAAGCAAAGAGTCTGTAGCCCCCACAAACTGGCCAAGTACCCGAGGGATCAAACACCTGCATCTTCTAGACAGTTGAGAAAGAAACTCCTTGGCATCTGGCCAGGTTAACAGTGAGTTTCTGCTCATATCAGAATGTCCACCAAGCATCCTGATGTGTAACCTTTAGAACAAGGGCTCGGCACTGTGTTATGACCAAGGTAGATTTTTCTGTGTTTAATTTTAACCCTTCACATGGGCAGCCTCCACAGGAACACTGTGGGTCAGCATCTTCTATAAGACTAAATCAGTCACTGTGCAAAAGACATCTCCTTTTCTCCCCAAAGCACAAGTCATTTGCTAGAAATCTCTGACTCTTTGGAATATTCATTATTTAACTCTATGTTTGATAGTGGAACTGATAAGATAGTACTGAACAGAGAAAAGATACACACATACAACTGAGGACGAACAGCATTTGTGGGGACAAGTTTCACATATGCTTCATTCCTTATTTTGGACTAGCTTGCAGCTCTAGGAATCTTGGAGCACCCTAAAGTTTATTTGAAATAGCAACTGAATATTTACAGGAGGAAGTTCCTCCAACATAACGGGTAGAAATATCGGAAGAGGATCTGTAAGAATGTAAGGAATTTTATGCATAGTTAAAGAAATATCAGCAAATCCTTAGGGAATATTTGGCAATAGCCAATTCACATTCAGTTCAATCCAAGGGGTTCAATTGTGATGAAGAACATCACTTAATGCCGTGCAGTGGCATCTAGGTAGGAGGAAGGGCAGGGACCATGGAATATGGTGGAGAGTGGAACTCTCACTTTCCGAGTGAGAACGAGAAGCTAGGAACACAAACAAACAAAAAGAACATTCTCTTGACATTCAGAAGTAAAAAGAGGACAAGAAAACCTTATAGGCAGGTCTGCTGTGCACATGTTGGTGAGCAGAACAGGTGGCACTATAGAGGATATTGGTGCAGTATGGATCCCTAGCCATTATCTATCCTGATATACAGAAGAAAACAAATAAATAAAGAAGACACTTACGGAATGAAATAGAATTCTCTAGTAGGCTTTATACCAAAGATACCAGTATAGTAGATATAGAAATAAAGAGACAAAAAGCACCCAATCACCACGTCTCCATCCTTGCGCACACTGGTGCTCCTTCGGTGAAGGCAGGCTTCATGATCTAAAGTACACACTAGGGCAGGAAGCTGAAGAAGAAGGAAGAGAACAATCAGATACAACATCATGGAGGCATATGGAAAGAGTCAGGCTGAGTTTAGAAGAAACTTGCAGTCTGAGCCAGGTAAATAAATCTGTTATGTGTGTGTGATTCTATTTGACAATGTTTCTGACTCAGGTGGACACTCTGATGCCCTGGCTCCTGTCACCAGTGCCTGCTCCACGTCCCTGGAGAAGTTTGCCACCATTTTCTCCCTGGGCTCTACACCTGAGGTCTGGTGTCCAGGAGAAAAACACAAAACAGAAATTATGTTCACGTATCATTTCCTCCACCTGGAGCCACCATGAATTAATCCAGTTCCAAGGATACCAACATCCCAGGGGCCACCTCCTCCTGGGCAGCTTTGCTCCTAAGTCTTTTTCAGGAAGCCACTGGCATGGATACCATTGGAGGTGGTGCTCATGGATTGCACTAGAGGATTTAATATTAGCATTTTCTTGAAATCGTCTAACATGGCTCAATCTGAAGCAAGAAATATTGGGCACTGTGCCTTCCAAAGTGGAAGTTTAAGGGTCGCTATCTTATGACAGCCCCATGATTAAGAGTTGGAGCCACAGAACTTTCCTGGTATAATTGTGTTGTCTGCCTAACAGTCACGTGTGCTGAAGCCCACAGCTGCACCTGCTTGCCATTGCTTGGGGTACAATAATTGCACTACAGCCAGGTATCCCAGATTAGTGAGTGAGCATCAGTGCGGTAATACAATGCCCTTTTGAGTTGTGTAATTCAGCCCACTTCCCTGCTGCTTTGTTCTTTCAAGTATCTTCATTCCATGATTTAATATATTGTCAGAATCCATTTCTACTCCTACAACCTTGAGTTCCTCCAGCATTTAGGCTTTTGTGCGAACGTGAGTGTGTGTTGCAAATTTCTCTTTTTCTCTCACGCTAAAGCAGAGGATCAAAGCTGAAAATGACTCTGTATTTCCCATCACTCAAATTTTTGAGGAGCAGGGAAGCACAGGCAGCATTTACACCCCCAAAACTCAGTGGAATTTTCAGGGCAGGTAGATTATTCTGAGTAATACTGTATTAGTTCAATGCACACCATCTTGTATTTGTCAAAATCTAAATGACCAGCACAAAGAGTGAGCCTCAGTGTGCACTTAGACTTATTGTATAGGTGTCAGTATTGGTTTATAAAAAGTATTGGCTTCTGTGACATGTTAGTAATAGGCGTTCTGTTAAAGATGGAAGAAAACATTGGTTTTTCTAAAGATTAACTTTAAAAATTAAAGCATGTACATTTTGAGAAAAGACTTATTCTCCAATTTGGATGATGTTGGCCTCATGTCCTCATTAGCATTTGAAAAGTAGCTAGTTGTAGTGGATTGACACCTGGTGGTCAACTTATAGCCCTCAGCTGAACTGAGTAAGTGTGGTGCTGAGTGTGGGAAACCCACATGAGGACTGTTGCCAGCAGCATAAGAGGCAGACCTGGAAAAGAAGAAGTCTGTTTGGGACTAAAGAGGCTGTTGGGAGTGGAGAAAGGCTGTTGGAGCTGGTGGAAGCTGTAAGGAGCTGTTGGTTGTTTTGGAGGAGCTCGTCATGCTGGCTTTCCTAATAAACTTGGCTGTTTTCATCCTCCAAGGAGCTTAGGACCTTATGGCACTGAGGATGGCTTTGGCTCACTTTGGGGGAGCTCTGGTTCTCACTTTGAGCATTGCTTCCTGGCTCTGGAGGGGAATGGTGCACTACCAGTGTCCTGGAGATGCGTGCTGCGTTGGCTTCCCTGATGAGAACTCGGCCATCTTGATCTTCGGAGGAGTTTGGGACCTCACTGTTGCTGAGGATGGCTGTGGTACCTTTCAGGGGAGCGCTGGTTCTTGTGAGCATTGCTTCCCGGCTCCAGTGCAGATCCCTCAGCCTGCTAGCACAGGTCCTTCATCCTACTGGCACGGACTTCCTAGATTCCACCACTGACTCTTGGGCCTTCGCAGCACAGACCCATGAAACAGGCCTGAATGAGATAATGTTATGGGCTCTGGGCCACCAGTTGGACTCATGGGAGGCACTGTTATGAGCTCTAGGTCTTAAGCTAGACTCATGCGAGACATTTCCACAGGATCCAGGCCCTTAGCTGGATTCTCGGTCCATAGTGTGTTGACAGATTTCCTGCATTCTTTTGTATATTGTTCTTTGGGTGACTATTATAAATAATCTTATAAAATATGTATCCTGTATTATATTGTTCCCCTTGCAAAAATAAGTCCCAAACCAACACACTAGTCAAAATAAAGTTGAGGTATAAGTGCAAAGTCTTCATAGTTTCAAAACATTTCAAGATATATTGAACTTGCAATAATTTTATAATAACTGTAATGGTTGATAAATTGTGTCAACTTGAGAAGTTTAGAAGCTTACTAAGTAACGCAGGAGTTTTCATCCTGGGGTGTAGAGGACATGCCCTAGGGTGCCTAAGAAGGGTCCAGGATGTTTTAATTGTTGATTCGTTGTGTCAATTTCAGAAATGTAGAAGTTTACCTAAGTGATTCAGCAGGGGCCTGGGGTCTCCCTTTGTAAACACCCTGAGCCTGTGCAAGAGGAGGGTGGGGAGATGCTGTGAGTACTCCACCAGTACTGGGGGGGTTAGCCTTCTTAAAATATAAGGAAAGAAAAGAGGCTTGATTTCCCTTTTGCTCTTGTTGCTTTTGCTGTCTTCCACCGCCATGAACTATTGCCCTTCTGCCATGCCATCCTGCTTTGGAATCAGCTGATTATGGACTAAAACCTCTACAAACTGTGAGCTAAATACACCTTTCCTCCTTTAACTTTGGGTGTTGGGTATTTTGTCTCAGCAATGAGAGAAAAGTAACATAATAATTGTATTACAGGATAATATATTGAATCTAATGGGTTTAATAAAGTATATAAATATACTTTTAAATGAAAGGATCTTATGTCCATTAACCTGGATATGGCAAGTTGTACCCAATAAAAAACCGTGTCTGAGAATATGGCTGAGTCCTCCACATAAATACATGACTTGCCAAACTCAAGCCTTCTTCTCTGATTTGGGTCAGCCTATTATCTGGATAGAATTGAGTTTCAAGTGCAATGTAGAAGTCTGAAGTGTGGTACCTGTGCATGTGATATAACCAAAAAATAGGGTGTTTCTAGGAAGTAACATAAGGCCACTAGGGCAGACCCTGAACCAATATGTCTATGTTTCCTAACAGGAAGACACCACATAAGACTCTGGCTCATAATAATTTTTTTAAATGGCTGAGGAAGTAGTTAAGTGGAGAGTACATGTTGAACATACACAAGACCTTGTACTCAATCTCCTGTGCCACAAAAAGTAAATTGAATTCCTAAATTCATAAGTATACTAAAGTATGTAATGACACCAGTCCAGCAAATCACTCAGACTTTTAATAATGTCTCCAGTATGATAAGACACGTACCACAACAAATGATTCAAATGAATGTTAAGAAATAGTCTTCTGCACCTCCTGGAACATCATCTGGAAGAAAGCCTGGGCAGAGTCCCCCCTCTTGGCCAACACCACTGACCGCAGTGGCTATTTCCTGCTCACCCTCAGACTCCCTAGTTACACAGAAGACATGCTGGGGCCTCTTCTGCTGCATCTTGAGGAGACAAAGCTCCTGTCCTTGGTGGATGTGCTATGCCTTCACTGGGCAGAGCACTTATGTGTGCCCCTGTGTAGAAAATGCCAGTTCACATGCATGTCCCCTGCTGCCTGTGAGGATGTGAATCAGGATAAGAAGAGTTCAGATATAGGCAGCGGCCATACACATCAGTTCCAGGGTCTCTACATGGATTGATAAATTCAGTGTTCAGATTATTTCATGTCATAAATAAGGAAATTCAGGCAGAAATTCTGCCTATTGTCCTATGCAGTGATGAAGAATGACGGTGACAACCAGAAGTCAAGTAGCACAGTCACTGTGTGCACCAAGCTGTTATCCTATTTACCAGCTACGAATGGTTGGGGTCTTGTAGGGGTCGGTGACTCTTAGCATATCATTTTAAGATAGAATAACTCTAGTCTTAATGCAAGCCTCAAAATGTGTCTTGAGAAACATCCCGGAGGGGTTGTAAAAAGTTAACTTTACAGTCCTGACTTAGCCATGGAATGCTTCTCCAAAGACAAAGAACACCGGGGCCCAGATAACCACCTATAACCCTGCCTGGGTTGTTTCATCCATTCCCTGACCCTAGATAAACACTGTAACCATAAAGGAAATGTATGGTTATCTAAAGGGGGACATATAGAATGGAATACAGAAAGTATATATCATTGTGGTTGGACTCATGACCGGAGCCTGATCGGGTCACATGGCACAAGGAAAACAACATGTGGCCTGGGCTACAACATTCCAATCTGTTACCACAAAAACCAAAAATGTATATAAGCTGAAAACAAAGACAGGTCCAGGTCCACTTCCTTGATTTACACGTCAGGATGAGAGGTGACCGGTCTAAATTAAAACTTTGTCTGTTCTCATAAAGTTTTTTGGTCTCTTGCGGAATACAGCCTGAATTTTTGCTGTAACACTACCACGTCACTTGTGCCTATTCCCATTTGAAAATTTTCTTTATTTCACAATATCTATTATGCATTTTGTTCCTTATTTACACTTTCTGCAAAGCTTTTGTAATAAGAAGGGGAAGATTGGGAGAAGGGAGGAGTGGAGAATGGGGAAAAATAAGAATCAAAGTACACCTTGTATAGGTACAAATTTAATATGATGAATGTGATTATTATGTATATTTAAACCATACCAGTACACTTAATTAATGATAAAAAATACAAAGACTAAACCCTCCCAAAAAGAAGAAAAATGGCTTCAAGGGTTTTGCCTATTTATGTTCCAGTAGGTTCAATACTTCTATTTTCAAATTTAGATTTTTGATCCATTCTTTCTTTAGTTATGGTGAAAGGCATAGGTCATTTCAATCTTCTGTAAACAGATATCTGGTTTTCCCAGCACCACTTATTGAATAGGCTATTTTAACTCTACTATATGCTTTCGCCCCTATGTAAAAGACCAAATACCTGAATGTATCTGGGATGTTTCCGTATCCTCTGTCCTATTCCACTGATCTACATGTTTATTTTTGTTCTAGTACAAAGCAATTTTTATCACTTTCTTTGTAGCATAGCTCTGCATTAGGTAATGTCATGCCCTTGCTTTGCTGTTGTTTCCCAAGATTGATTTTGATAAACTAGATCTCTTCCACTTCCATATAAGTTTTTGGGTTGATTTATCCTATTCTGTGAAGTATGATGTTGGAATTTCGATTGGGCTTGCATTAAATCTGTATAAAACCTTTGGGAATATGACCATTTTGACTATGTTGGTTCTGCCTATTGAGGAATAGGGGCACCTTTCCATGTTCCGATGCTCTCTTTAACCTCATTTTTCAGACTTTTGCAGTTTCCTTTGTAGAAATTTTTGACTTCCTTGGTTCAGTTAACTTGTAGATATTTCATTTTTCTTGGGGTGACTGTGAATGGTATTGTTTTCATAACTTCTTTCTCTCACTGAGTTCCTTATCAGTGTACATAAATGCTTTTCATTTTTGTATTAACATGGTATCCCGCTGCTTTGCTGAGATTGGCAATTAAATCTGAGTATTTTGGTGGAATTCTTTGGGTCTTCTGTGCTTTCAGTGTGTCCCATAAATTCCAGTATATTGCATTATTATTATCGTTTAATTGTAGAAACTGTCTCATTTCTCCTTTAATTTCATCTGTGAAATTTGCTGTTCAGGAGGGTGCTGTTTAATTTCCATGTGCTTAGGAAGTTCTTGTGTTTTCTTTTGCCATCGATTTCCAATTTCATTGCGCTATTGTTTGATAATATGTATGTCCTCTGTGGTCCCTGCCCCTTCCTAAAAGTGCTGAATTACATATTAAACACCAGAGAGTACCGGAATTGTGTGCACTTTCTCGGCTATTGTCCCTGGAGTCCAGGCATACTTGTTGGTTACTCGCAATTTTGGCAAGCCCCTGACCACTTGCATTATAAACAGCCTATATTTTTACTGATATTGTCACTGAATTTCATACATGTAAGTATTGTCAGCTCTGAAAAGGCAAAGGAGTACTATGACAGGCACTCTCCACTGTATTTTGACTCATCATCTGTGGAACGCAATAGCGGCATGGTTTCAGTCAGCCGCCAAAATACGCCTGAATTCACTCATGGCCTGGAACTGTAGTTGTTGCTGGGATGATTCATGAAACTGTGCAAAGACGGACACAGTCCTTTCTCTCTTATATATGTTGATTTTGATAAAGGCAGAACAAGTTAAATAAAAGGACTTCTCTCACAAAAATTCCATTTATTTTTATTTTTAAACAAGCTATATTCATTTAGACAGTCTGTGTGCACTTGTATGCAATCTAACTTTGTTGACCCCTCCTAAAATGGGGTATGTGTGCAAGTGTACACAGTTGAAATAAAGGAAATTCTGCTAAAGAAGCAGAGCAGAATATCTGATCTTTACCTAGGGAGGCCAATACTAGGATGGTAGCAGTACTGTTTACTTCCTAATGCACAATGTATCTCTGTGGTCCTGTAATGGAATGTGCATAATAAATTATGCACATAGAGTGTCTGTTTCTCTACAGAAGCAAAGATTGTCCCAGGACAAATGGCTAAGAATTCTAGTTAGTTTTAGTGAGGATGCTCAGGGTTTATGGCCATGCATTTGTTGGTCTGTTCGCTGACTCTGGTGACAAGAGGGGCATCTACCAGGGAAGGACGGGGAAGCAGCGGATCCATCACTGTTTGCCTTCTCCCCAGGCCCCTGGCTTTTCTATGCCCCCCACAGGCCACATCTACCAGGACCATTATTCCTGCTGCCCCTTGGCCAGCAGCACTCTCCCCACAGGCAGCCCCATAGCTGGCTCCTGCTCAGAAGTCACCACCCATCTCTGGCTTATGTTATGTGCTTCAGAGCCATCATCTGTCACTGAGTGAGTTGTTCATCCTGTCTTTCCCCTTCCAAAAGCAAGGCCATGTCTAAGTCCCTCAGTATGGCTTTCTTGGACTCCAGAACAGTTTGTGAAATGTGATAGGTTTACAAGAAGTCACTGTTGAGGGAACGGATGCGCTCATGTTGATTGGTCCAGAAGGTGTGGGGAGGGCAGAGATTCATGTAGGTTCTTTCTCTGCTCAGAGGAAGGAGAGAGGAAAAGGTGGCTCAGGGCAGATTCCAATGCAGGGTAGGGCGCCTCCTCCTGAGGGCACAGGCAATGGCAGCAGAGCCCAGGGTCCACTCGGCTGCTCTGTGTGGACCCTCTGGGCAGCAGTGTGGGGAGGGAGTCCTGAGGACTGGAGTGGACACCATGGCCTTAAGAACTTGGTCATTGTTCAGGGCCAGGTTCTCTGGGTTTGAAGCCTTGTAGCCCACATTATATCCCAGGGTCTCAGTGTCCACATCTGTAAAATTAGGATGATAATGGTCCACACCTCATGGTGCTTTTGCTGCATGGAAGTGGACTAATCTCTAAAGCACATAGAGCAGACCTGGGCAGTAGTGAACATTTTAGAAGACTTGGATATGAACTGAGGCATTGGGCCCTTCCCAGCCATTTCTGCAGCAATGACACAGGTGTTTCGTTACCATCCTTGCACATATCTCACAAGAGACAACTGTGATGTTGTTCAGGACGTGGCTCAGTGGAAGGCTGCCCCAGGAAGCTGAGAGGGTCTGGATTAGAGCAGTACATAGGTCAGGGTGTGAGGAAGTCAGCTGGAGTGGAGGGGACACCTGTGACTTCTAGGCCGGCATCCTGTCTCTACCAGAAAAGTCACTCATTTCTCTGAGCCTCAGTTTCCCGTCCTTATCTGGTCTACCTGAAGCAGGCTTGGATGGGTGGAGTTTAATATGCCTTCTCACCCTGAGTACCATGTGAAGCCTTCAGGATTCTTTTCTACCATCTGTCTACCATCACACTCAGTTTTCAGCTCAACCAGCCATCCTACTTAAGACCATTAAAATTAAATCATTTGATAAGTTGTAACTGGCAGCAGCTGAATACCACCTCTTGACAGAAACAGTTTTGACAAAAGTCAGGACCTAATGTCAAAGGAATTCCTTGCCAGCCCTGGGACTTCAGATGCATCAGGAAGAGAGTGCAGGTGTGCCTGGGGAAGGAGTTGTGCATGCTGGAGCCTGAATCAGTTTCTAGGAGGGTGACCTCTGTGAATCACTTTTCAAATAGTCCATTTCCAATTGGTACAATTGTGGAGAATGATGTCTCCCACCGGGGGCTGCTGTGCAGTACAACACAGAGGGCCTAGCATGATTCCGGCACCCAGTGAGTGCTCAACAAATTTTCCTTTCTATGCATCCCATTTTCCCACAACCTCTGTTATGTGTCCCTCAAACTCTTGTGTGTGGAAGGTGATTACATCATGGGGCCCCATGTTCATGAGATTCACCCCTGGATGAGTTTGGTATCTAAATGTGCTGTCAGCAGGTGGGGCCTGGCTGGAGGTGGGGTCCTGGGAACTTAACCTGAGAATCTGTGCCTTGTCCCCAGGTCCTGCCTTCTCACTTTGCTTCCTCACTGCCGTGGTGAAACAGCTTTCTTCTGCCACGCTCTTCCATGCTGCCTTTCTGCCTCAGAGCCTGCCCACCTGAAACTAAAACCATGAGACAGAGAAAACCTCTCTTCCTTTAAGTTGCAGGTATTCATTATTTTGTCTCAGCAATGAGGAGGGGACTGAGATAGATTTTGGTAGTAGAGAATTGGAGTCATTGCTGTCACTGCACCTGATCACGTGGTCTGAAAGCATTGGGAGCTGGTTTGTGGGAGGAATTTTGAAGGGACTGAAGGTGTCAGGTAGAGAAGCCCGAGCACATGGAAATACAGAAATGGAGACACAGGAAAGGAAGCTAAAAGCCCAGGTGGTTAAAAATTTATTTCAGTAGGTGAGTCAGTCATATCAGGTACTGGGGCTGTGCAGAGTTGAGGGGAACAGAAAAGGGGGAAGTGATAGTTCTGCAAGTTTGTTTAAGATGGGGAAATGACAAGTTATTTTATTTTGTATTTTAAATGTATTGAAGTTTTGATGGAATCTACTGGGAAGATTTGAAGACAACAAAAGAATAAAATTCTCCAAGTCTCCATTTTGTTCTTACATTTACTCCCTCGTTCTTCTTCACTCTTTTGTCCCATCGATGGATCTGTGAACTCTGCTCACCCTTTTTTTTGCCTTTAATACTTTCCCCCACCAGCCCATGCTTCCACCCACCCATCCTTATAACCACTATTTCAATCCCTTCATTTAACAAACACCTTTTATTGCATATGCATACACAAAAATCCAATACAAAGAAGAAATATTGTCTCATTCATTTAAAATAGATGGAAAATATGGAATTCAAATATACTGTTGACATTGTTAAAGGTCAGCACCCCAGGAACAGTTAAGATGTTAATCAGAAATAAATATTCAATACTATTAGTGGAATTCTTAAATTTAAAAAGTGAAAGAACATAATGGCTCAGAAGCTAAAAAGCAGGTGTGGGCACACAGTGAGCTACATCTGCAGACCTTTTTAAACATCTATTTTCAGGCAGATCCTTGCTAAGTCTCTGAGTGGCCCCGGTTGAAGTCAAACTTGCAGTACCCAGCCTCACCGTGCCAGAGTGCTTAATCACATGTGTACACAAGCACAACACCCAAAATGAATACCTATGCACTAATGTTTATATGTAGGTCATACATAGTAAAGAAAGTTTCGCAAGTAAACCATTTTCTATCACATTATCAGAATACCCTTTAAAATTTCTAGGTATGAACATGACAAGGAACTTTACTGCATACATTGTATAATGCAAATGTACATTCTACACCCACATAGCTGACATTAATAAAGGATAACTAAACAAGGATGAGTGGAAATACAAATCTCTAATGGAAAAATTTTCTATTGCATATCTACAAGTTTTTCCATAAGACATTCTAAAAATTCAGTACATTGGAAGCATATAATTGACAGTATTTATACTTGTGTATGACTAGCAAATTTTAGAATCCTACAAACCATGTGAGACAGACACTTCAAAAATAGTGTAAATAATATTCCAGAAGGGAAATGAGAGAAGATAAATATACATACAATTACTAAAAGGTACTATACTCAGCATACTGAAGGCAGGATTCTCCTTCAAAAGGAAAAAAAAAACTAATAAAATATATTAAAAGATTCAGAAACATAGTGACATACAGAAAGGAATTTATTGTGTTTTTAAAATGAGAAAAAAGTTGAGAAAGTCAAAAGGAAGACAAGCTAAAAGTGGATAGGATGATCACAGTCAGAGAGTAGGTTAAATTCTAGTTTAAATTGTAGGGAACAAAATATATTCAAAATAAAATTTAATTGAAAAAGAGGGTGACTACAGTTTCTAGTGACCATTATACTGTTAGAAAATTGTTTCATCACTTATTATGGATGTAAGTCCTATAGTAAAATACAGTATCTGATTTCACCAATTGTTCAGCTTTGACTTCAGGCTCACTGTGCATTTCACAAAACAAATGTCTAATAAGAAGGCATCTTTCTCAAAGAATGTGTTTTGCCCCTGATGCCAGTAAGACAATTTCTCTTTGGCCTTACCAAAATAATGTAGCACTTGGGGGCAAAGATGCAGCCGAGCAGCCCTGCACTGGAGGCCAAGATGGAGAAGACCTCCATGGCCACCATGACCTTCCCCTTGGTGCTGTGGTACACGGGGAGGAAGGTGACCCACACACTGCAGAACACCAGCATGCTGAACGTCAGGAACTTGGCTTCATTGAACGTGTCGGGCAGGTTCCTGGCCAGGAAAGCCACGGTGAAACTCAGCAGGGCCAGGGAGCCCAGGTATCCCAGGACACAGTAGAAGGCAGTGAGGGAGCCCTTGTTGCACACGATGAGGATGTGGCCATGTTCAGAGTGAGCGTCTGTGTCAATGTAGGGTGGATTTGTCCCCATCCAGACCCCACAGAGAGTGAGCTGGATCAGGGAGCAGATGGGGATGATGGAGTTAGGAGCCCCTGATACCAGCAACTGCCTCATCCTTCTGCCTGGAGCAGTGACCTTAAAGGCCAGCACCACAGTAATGGTTTTGGCCAAGACAGAGGAAACAGCCACAGTGAACACGACTGCAAATGTGGTCTGCTGCAGGATGCAGGTGGCTGTGCTGGGCCGGCCAATGAAGAGCAAGGAGCAGAGGAAGCAGCAGGTGAGGGAGATGAGCAGGGTGTAACTGAGAGCCCGGTTGTTGGCCTTGACAATGGGAGTGTCTCGGTGCTTCACAAACAGCCCCAAAACAACAACTGTTACAAGAGCAAGACTCAAAGATGTGGTAGCCAAGGTCTTCCCCAAGGGGTCTTCATAAGCCAGAAAAGTCACAGACTTTTGGAGACAATAGTTTCTCTGAGTGCTTGCATACTGATGATCTGGACACTTCACACACTGCTCCATATCTAGTGAAAATATAAAATTATCATAAGTCCATGTTTAGTGTTTTCTGTTGACTACAACTTTCCCAAGAACCACATGTGCACGAGAACCAGAGTACCTCTTTTTTTCTAGGCACAAGAAATAGCATGCTATAGGATGCAGTGCCATATTAATGCTGCCAATCCTCTGCTGTATGGTGCAGTGGAGGACATTATTTTTTTTTTCTAACCTGTCATATTAGTAAGGATAATATTCTCCTTTCAAACTGATCATCTTAAATCACTGTAATTGATGTACTGGTTATTCATTCAGTGATTAATTATTTTTAGGCCACCATAATTTGCTAAGTTACAGGAAAAGAGATTCTACTGTTGGTACTTCATGTCAGGTGGAGGAAGAACACCCGTCCTATAAAAGGTTGCAATTTATATCACAAGACCTGTTGCAATTTTGGTTGCAATTGGATAGCTTCATTAGATCACATTGGTAAGTCCTGACATTTTTCCATTGTAAAGTCTTTCCATCCATGAAAATGCTTTGTCCAGCCAGTTATAGTCTTGCTTTGGTTCACCAATGCTCCTATGTGTGAACAGTTTGATTGGTGAACAGAACCAGTGTGCAAAATTTTATTTCTATTGATGAACTTTGCTAGGGTGAAGAACACTACTGTGGCCCTTCTCCCCAGAATCATGGAGCAAATGAAGTTTTTGGATCGATGTATCAGTGTATTTTACTTTGATTTCATATAAATGCTTTTCTATAATTCCTTTTGTATCTTTTCAAACATTTAAAGGATTTCCCATTAGCAGTTTCATATTTTAGTCTCCACCCTCCATGCACCTGGTGCAGACAGGAGAATCTGACTCAGAAGGCCCATGAACTGCTAACACCAAGATTCATGTTTGGGCGTTCCTTGCAAGTGCCCTGTGCTGTCTGAGGTACTAGAGCAGGCAGTCCATGAACTGCTGGCACTGAGGTTTGTGTCTGGACTTTGTGCATGCCCTGACCTCCTGGAGGTCACAGAAACAGACTGTCTGTGATCACTGCCAGTGCAGCCTGCATCTGGCTCCTATGTGCACCTTGAGCTGCCTGGACACATGGAATCAGGTGGTCCACAAACTGTTGACCTTTCAATTCTTGTTTGGGCTCTGCCTGTGCCCTGAACTGCCTGGGGACACAGGATCACTGGTCCGTGTTTGTGCCACTAGTGCAACCCGCTCCTGGGTCATACTAGTGCCCTGAGCTGTGAGGGGACACTGGATCAGATGGTCTGCCACTGGCTGACATCACAGTTTGTGTCTGAGACATGTGAGAACTAGGTACACTTCACTATTTGCCAGAAGAGCCCAGACTAAGCAGCACATCTCAGTAGGACACTGAGGAGCAAGACTGACCACCAGGAAGACTAAGGACACTAGTGACCTTTGCTGTGCTGCCAGGGAAGAGGGAGACTGAGCATTCTGCTTCCAGAATCAAACATGATGAGATGAGGAACTAAAACACAGTCTCAGCACTGGGACGTTGAGGTGCATCATTAGGATATTCACTTGAACTCACCGTGTTTTCCTGACATGGGAATTCACTGCTCTAAACTTACCTCTTCGGATTGCTTTCACTATATCCCATAGGTCCCAGTATGTCATACGGGCATTATTATTTGATTGTAGGAATGCCAAAATTTGTTGTTTAATTTCATCTGTGACCCACTGATTATTCAAAAGGGTATTATTTAATTTCTGTATGTTTGCATAGTTTGTAATGTGTAATTCCACTGATTTCTGGCTTCACTGCTGTATGATTTGATAATGTGCATGGGTGAATTTTGATTAACCCATGCATGCTGAAATCCCAGCATTTGGGAAGCTGACATAGGCAGATCCCAGTGAGTTCAAGGACAACCTTGGGCTACATAAGTGCGTTCAAGGCCAGCCTGCCCTGCTTAGCAAGATCCTGTCTCAAAAAACCAAAAAAAAATTTTGATTCTTTTGTACTTACTTCAGCATGCTTGATGGAGTTCTATGTAGCCCATTTTGGAGAAAGTGCAGTGTGCTACTGAGAAGAATGTGTATTCTGCTGTTTTTTTATGAAACACTCCAGATATTTTTAAGTCCATTTTTCCAGTGCATTAGTTCAACTCTGATATTTCACTGTTGATATTTTCTCTAGTTGATCTTTCCATTTCTGACAGTAGGGTATTGAGGTCCCCCATTACAACTGTATTGTCATCTGATTTTTAAATCAGATTTTTAATTTTTTTAATCTGATTTTTAAATTTAAAATTTTTAATTTAAAATTTAAAATTTTTAAATTTTTTAAATCTGATTTTTAAATCATCATTAGAATCTGCTGTATGAAGTTATATGTACCTGTATTTGGTGCATACATATTTATAATTGATATCTCTTCCTGTTTAATTGTTCTCCTAACCAATATGTCATGACCTTATTTTTCTCTTTTGATTGAGTCTTGGCTTGAAATCCACCTTGTCTGAAATTAAGATAGCTACCCCTGTTTTCCCCCCAAGATCCCTGTTGCATGCTTTCCATCCTGTATCCTGTGATTTTTTTAATCTGAGAGTTATTTTTGAATTAAATACATGTCTTTTATATTCCATATCATTAGGTTTTGCTTCTTGACTCGTTCTGCCAATCTGTGTCTTTTGATTGGGGAATTGAAAGGAATCACACTGAGAGTTATTACTGAGAGGTATTACACTGGGAGTTATTACTGAATAAGTTATTACTGACTGATTCATGTTATTGCATTATTTTGCTGCTGATCATATCCTTATTTTTTCTTTGTATCAGCTATTTATCCCAACAGTTGTATCCATTTTTGTTTGACTTATTGACCTCCTTGGCTTCATTGTCTCTTTCTAGAATATCCTTGAGAAGTTTTTCTGATGCTGGTTTGGTGGTCATAAATTTCTTGAGGTGCTCTTTGTCATGGAAATATCTTATTTCTCAGTCTATTTTGAAGGAACATTTTACAGGTTACAGAATTTGGGGTTGGAAACTGTTATCTTTTGAGCTTGAAACACTTTGTTCCAAGCCCTCCTGGCCTGTAAGGTTTGTATAGAGAAGTCTGCTGTGATTGTAATGCATTTACCTTTGTAATACATTCATTGTTCTTCTCTAACAGCTTTTAAGATTTTTGTCCCTGTGATGGAATTTAGGTACTTAGAAAATAATGTGGCCTCAAGAGGTATTTTTCTGGTCAAGGTTATTTCGGATCCATAGATTGCACTTATCTGTATGTTCATTTCTTTCCCTATTTTTTTTTTAGTCTGTTTTCTATAGATTTATTTAAATTTACCTTAAAATTACATTATCAAAAATTACATTATTTTACATTCTTTCAGGGAAAGTTTATGGAGA